TAATTTAATTATATACCTCACATATATATACATATATGTATTCTATTATAAAATTCTATCGTTTTTTTTTAAATAAAAATAATAAGATAGTAAAAAATCTTTACTACACGATTGGCTTAATTCATGTATTTATGGTGAAAATAGAAAATTTCACTATGTAATAAAAGCTATATAATAGAAGAATGTATGTACACTCACCTGCAAAAAAGTGGCATTGAAAATTGAAGAAAAATTTATCAAACTTCAAATGATCATAACTTGGTAAATAATAAAAATAAAAATATGTTTAAAAATGTAAAATGAAACTTGAAGTGTCCACTTTAAGAATATTTGAATAATAATTATCCTGTCACTATTTTCAAAATGGCAAATTACAGACTGAGAAGATGCGAAATTGATAATCGAAGGTCCGGGATTACAACGCAAATGATGTGAATCAGGTGTTGCAGCTTAATAGGACAAAATGCACATGAAAGTATGGAATTTTATCTTTAAAATGCTTTGTTACGGAGTTCGATATAATCATTTTTCGCTGAATTGTTCCAAATTTAAGATATCGCAATCATTAGCTCAAGTTATGATTGTAATTCTCATGTGCGCGCGTGCGTGCATGCATTCATTATTTACGCATGTATACACACACGCACGCACACACAAAAATGAAGTTCAATTCTGATCAATTCATGTTGGGTTTTAATTAAATGCTTAGGTAAATACAGTGTTTAGCATATAAATATTTTAATCTTTTGATTATCTTTCCTCTATTAATCACTTAAATTTTAACAGGCATACGAACTTCCATAAGCATCGACCGTCTTTAATAGTATCTCGTCGGTGTTAATACTATAAAATCTCAACTGTCATGGAGAACTTCTATTAAACCGTATAAAAAGCTTCGACTGACTATAATATATACCCGGATTAAATTAAAAACAAACTACATGTATAAGAAAAAAAAGATCAGTATTATATAAGAAGGAAAAAAGAATTGTTATGAGTAAAGATATTTGTAGAACAGTATTTCAAAATTTGATCAAACTTATCTTGAACACGCGTGCGTGAGAAAAAGCAGCATTATTGGCGATCGTGACCGTTAAACTGGTTCCGCCGTTCCGCGCTAGTGGCACCACTGGCGCCAATTCAGTTCAGCAGCGCTCTCACGTCTCGTCTCAGTTCTTTTCTTCAAAATGGCGGTGAGTTCACTTTCCTTACCTCGGAAAAACTTCTCTTAATCTGCATGTATCTCTTACATCATTTATTTTCGTTAAATATAATTATGATATAGAAATAACTGAAACTGTCATAAATTATCAATGATATTTATTTTCTTATTAAAGCGTCGATATTTGAAACTGTCGCTTTGATAAACCGATAAGAGTCCACGCTTGTTTTTAATCGGTATTTTATATAATTGTAAAGAAAAATTTAATTCATATATAGATAATTTATTAACAACATATTTTATCAACGCTGGCTAGATATTAAAATATTAGTTCATTTATGAAGTTAAATTAATAATGAACTGTGTAGATGAATAATTATTAATCGTAGGAGTTAAAGAAAGCGCCCGAAAAAAAAACCGGGAAGAAAATCGAAAAGAAAACGAAGTTGAAGAAGGAACCTAAAGATGCATCCAAGAATATAATGCGTGAGGTTCGAATCCGGAAGTTATGCCTAAATATTTGTGTAGGTGAATCTGGTGATCGCTTGACGCGTGCTGCCAAGGTAAATTTTACATATTTTTATTTTAAACGAAATCTTTCTGACAGTTGACTCTTCAACTTAAAGTAATTTTTCATATAGGTCTTGGAACAACTGACTGGCCAGCAGCCAGTATTTTCTAAAGCTCGATATACAGTACGTTCGTTCGGTATTCGTCGTAACGAGAAAATAGCTGTTCATTGTACTGTTCGCGGCGCTAAAGCTGAAGAGATTTTGGAACGAGGCTTGAAGGTAAAAATTCAGATCTTTACGTATACAATTTGTACCTATACTATGATTCTATGCATTATTTGATTATAGGTACGTGAATATGAATTGAAAAAAGAAAACTTTTCTTGCACTGGAAACTTTGGTTTTGGTATTCAAGAACATATCGACTTGGGAATCAAATATGATCCTAGTATCGGTATTTATGGATTAGATTTCTACGTTGTATTGGGACGTCCAGGTTAGTAATGATTATCAATTTTTATTATATTGAATGTATAAAATATTGCACAATTAGCATCATAGATATCCTTGTTTTATAGAGGTGTCTATACATTTGAAATGTGCTAGAGAAAATGTTTCATATTTGCAACTCATGCCCACTTTATTTTACTGGGTGTGTTACTTGATTGAGACTACACTTTAATTAAACACATTTACATATATATTTTACAACAATATTTATTATGTTAATACATAAATATATTAAAAGAATAATGAAAATATCATAGAATGGATAAGTGTGCAATTATAAATTATAAAATATAAATTTAATTTACAGGATTTAACGTAGCTCACAGGAGAAGGAAAACTGGTAAGGTTGGTTTCCAACACAGACTTACCAAAGAAGACGCAATCAAGTGGTTTCAACAAAAATACGATGGTATAATTATAACTGGAAGAAAATAATACATCATATGTATTTTGTATTATACAATTTAGTAAATAATCTTTAAAAAAATTGTTTTCATTCTTTAGTAATATATTTAAACCTTACATAACATCTTCAGGTTGCTCAATCAAATTACTTACGAAATTGTGATGTTTAGGAATAAGAAAAGATTTAATATAAAGCTTTAAGATTTTTATTTCTTCTCATATTGCAATAATACAATCAAAACACTGATCGTGAAAATAAAACAAGGAGACGTAACTGTCCTCACTGTTAAGTGTAAAAATAAGGAATACATAAAACAGACGAAATTTATTGTACGTAATTATGAAATTTATGAGAAATATTGTATTAGAAATATAATACGATCACGCCCATAATCTATTTAAAAGTTATGTTCGATTTTACAAATCGGAGATCCGTAATCATTCTATCCTGTGTTTACCAATTCGGTAAACACTGATAGAATGATTACAGAGTGTCAAATGCGCTTATTTTTAGCATTATTTGTTATTATTTTCGATGGAATGACATTCGAGTTTTATTAATTATAATCGAGCTTAATTAGGCCCAACGAATATAACACTCACATAAAGGAACTTTATTATAAAATGAACATTATCTACAATCTCAGAGTTAGAGAAATATGTTATTGCACTTATATATTATATGAAACTCTATATATATAATTCTTTTCTTACATTGGACGTTTTGATATAGTAGATATTACTGTCAATACATTTCTGTTTCTTGATTTATAAAATATTGATTAGGAGAATGCTGCTTAAAAAAGCGATCTGTATGTGCTATAAACATTCGTACTTATTGGCACCTTAGACATACACTTTTCAGACTACTTTCATTCAGAATTACAAAAATCTTAGTGCTAAAGAAATTATTGTTTCCATTTATATTGATTTTATATCATAATATAATGCTAATTTCATTTCATAACATAAGCAAAAAGATCACTTATATCTAATTTTACGATATTTTTATCGCAACAACTTCAGAACTTTAATAACAGAAGGTAACTTTAATCCAGTGGTTGGTGCCAAGTATTAAACTTAATTATAAACCAACATTTGTTCGCAATAATTAACTCATTACTCTTTGGTTTTAATTTAAATACACAAAAACATCCCATAAAAAATGAATAATTATAATTATGATAAGACATAGGAAGTATGCTTATTGACGTCCACTATAATTAGTTGCACTTGTATAACTTTCCACGACCTACTTAACTTGAAGTTACGAGCAGATAAAAAGGCAAGATATATCCTTCAGTCTCCATATTGTTACCTTACCTGGACGTCATGTTACCAGACTTTGATATAGATATACATATATACAGGATGATTCAGAGTTATGCATATGTACAAAAAAATTTCTAGTGACCATTTGCCTTCAAAATCACTTTCTTGTACATATTTGAAAATTTGAAAGATGGACAAATCTCTGATAATTCTTATCCTGATATATGCATGTATATGTGTATATAGATATATATTTCATTTATAACAGATAAATATATAAATAAATTTATTTATCTATATTCGAGGATTCCCATGTAATAACGAGAAAGATATATGCAACTTTTTACATTCGTATAAGGATGGGTATGCATTTCAAATAATCACATAAAGATAAATTTTCGACTTGAAACTCTTAACAGCTTGTTTTATATATATATATATCATATTTTTTGCTCAATTTTGAATATTTATTATGATGCAATGCATGCATAATAATTGTTAAAAGAGTGAAATATCATTTTTAATAACTAGATATAATTTTTTCAAATATTACTAGGATATTTACTACTAATTTAGAGCACACAAGTCATAAGATACGCGTGATATTAATTTGTAATACATGACCATCGCAGAGCACTGATGTTACATACAGTTATAAATAAATTCAGTCTATTCAAGCTGTATGTATATAATTTACTTTACTAATTAAATCCCAAAAATTTAAATATAAAAGTAAAATCTCCTAAAATTGCCAGCTATTTACAAATTACACACCATATATATTTTTATAGATTAATTAGAATTTTTGTAAGAGCAAGTTGCTTTTATGATATATATTTCAAATATATCTATCAATAAATTAAAATAAACTTTTCAAACACATTTAAATGTTTACTTTTAAAACACCAAAAAAAATTAAAATTTCGAAAAATTCAGGTGTTAAATCTGATAATGTATAACACCAGTCGTCAATAATGATATAACTTTCTATATTAAAAATTTTTTAAAAATATTATTTTCTCACCGATCGATAGTATCTATCAATGTTATGTCTTTCCGCGTCCGTGAAACCCAAAATACTTTCAATAGCATTTAAGTGACCGTGATGATTCTCCTTATCAGTTAGGAAATAGTAGATTGCTGACTTGAGGAACTGAAGAGTAATTTCCGGATCGAGAGTACCCTGACTGCTTCTCGCCTCTACAATACGCCTATACATTGCCTAATTAAAACAAAACAACATACTTGTTAAAGAATTAAGTTAAAATATTATATTTTATATATATA